CTTTATATTTCTTGGTGCAATTCCCTGGCCACGACACTACAGGTGACTGTAGTGACGTGGCCGATAACGGACGGATAACTGTGAAGTTATCCACACGCAACCCAGTAAAAACGTAACATTATAAAAAGGAGATTCGAAATTTACGATTGCGAAGTCGCGCTCAAAATTTAATAATTTGTTAAAATTACTTTCTGTCGCAAATAACACAGTTTTGAAACCATGAAATTGCAGGCACACATCAATAAACCCCAATATGTAATATTTGATTGGCTAAACCCGTTAGAGCTTAATTCTTTTACAGTTACTATCGATTAAACCATTATTGTCAGAGATAACTATACATAATATAGCACTGATAATTATTGTTTAAATATGTGCCAGGATATTAAACAAAACGCATATTAAAAATATGGAATCGACATAGAGGTCTAATATCGGTGACATTTGCAATAATTTAGTAAATTAATGTTTAATACGATTATTGTGTAAGTTTTACGGAATATTTTCTGGTTTGTTGTGGCTACGATTTCACGTAACACGGCATTAAATAATTTAATTAAATTAGTATGGAAATCTGAGTAATACATATTTTGATAATTCAATTACATCTGTTTGTCACGGTCAGTGAAATGTGGAGATATTGTTAACTGATAATATAATTTTATTATTTATTTTAATTACTGAACATATCATTCCAAAATATTCTATTTTGACTAGATAAATATTTGTTAATATTACATTTTTGTCATATCTGATTACTTTTTTTAAATGCAGGAATATTTGTTTGTATACCATTTACAAATTTTTGGCTGACCAAACGTATTGAATTTCCTTCTAAATCAATGCTACTGATGAACAAAAGCTAGACCATAGCAGTCTAAGTTTGGTCTTGGTTTTTCTGCAAGACTTTTGCACTTTTTTGATAGTTTTAATAGAGGCAATTTGTACATAGATAATTTAAAAAAATAACTTTTCAAGTAATTTAAAGCACATTATATTTAAAGAGAAAAAGTATTTGCCTGATGAAAATTTTTATTTTTCAATATTAACTAATATTAACAAATAATTATTAATTAATGAATCACTTGTTGAAGTTTCTGCGTGTAATATTGAATCCTAAGATTGAATCATCCTGTGTATGTATTTATAGTTAATTGCGGTGTTTACAGAACTATTTTATTCAAACGTGCATTTTATTATATTTATTTTAATTTATGATTAGCTACAATTAGATTTGATCCATCTGTGATCTGAGATCTGTTAAAGAAAGGTCTTTAACCAGTGTGTCTTGCCGTCCTCATGTATGGAGCTGAAACACTTACTTTGACAAAAAAAAAACATACATAGAATATAGGTCATGCAACGGAAAATGGAAAGGTGCACGTTGGGAATTACACTTGGGATAAAATACCCAATCATACCATACGAAATCGAACAGGAGTATAAGGGATGCCGTGACATATCTGTCTTACATTTTAAATGTGGCTAGGATAACAGATGGACGGTGGACAAAGAGACTTGTGGAAAAAGACACGAGGTCAATTATACGATAGAGACGGTGAACAAAGATACACGAGGCTTATAGAAGCAGAGGACGACCTCCTAGTTGATGGATAGATGATATTAAGAGAGTGGCTTGAAACTGGATTCAAGTGGCACAAAATAGAAAGAAATAGCTAGAGTTGAGGGAGGCTTTTGTTCAGCAGTGGACGGAATAAGCTGATGATGATGAATTGGAGTTATAATTAACGATGGGCAAATGTAAGATCAAGACCAAGACTTCCTTTGTCTTGGTCTTACAGATAAAACGCTAGTCTTGGTATTGAAACCTAACCCAACCCTTATTGTATCATGGTATTCGTGTTGGTTGGCTTTATTTTTGTGCAAGACCAAGACCATGACCAGTCGTCATCACTATACAGGGTGGTCCGAATTGTATTCCGGAAACTTCGGCAGCATATTCTGCAGATAAAAATAAGTAAAAAAGTTCGTATAAATGTATGTCCTAAAATGCTTAGTTTCGGAGATACAGGGTGTGGAAGTTTAATTTTTATTTCGATTTTTTCCAAATAATTTCTGAAATAACGTAAATATTTGGATGAAAATTGCTGTCTGGGAGTTTTTTGACATGAGAAATTTGATTTTGAGGTCAATATGACTCCTACTAGTAGAGGGCGCCACCTAGATATTTTTTAACTGGTTTGAAGACTATACTCTGTTTTTTTTCTCAGGTAAGATTTCGACAGACGATGACAGAAGAAAAGCAGATGACGTCCCATACCAATCTATTTATTTTACTAAAAAAAGTTTCTAATCATTTTTAAGTTATCTATGGATGGGTTTAAATATAAATCCGTCATGCGTCATGTCTTGTTGTTTTTAACCAGTTTTATTGGTTTATTTAAAAAATGACAGATCGTATTTCAATTTTATTGGTTTGACGGAACGATGAACGACAAACGCCGATGCGTATGAACTCGCCTTTAGACAAAGCCTTTAGATTTTTGTCATTTTTGACGCTTGTCAAAGTCTTGCCAAATTATAGGTTATAATTTTGTGTCAACTTTTGTTAAATACCCTGCGTTTTGGAAGATGATGCATTTTGATTCGTATTATTACGTGTGTTTTGTGTCTTTTGAAGTCAAGTGGAGGAAAAATCGAGTGAAAATTAACTGTAGACCCAGAGCACAGTTTATGGTTAATACTCGCTGCCCAGGCAGAAAGTCTTATACACCAATGAAGTTGCCATCTATAAAGTTTGTATACCATTTCGTCGTAGATAAGTGCATCTCGTATATGGTAGAAGGATCAAACTAAACACATACTAAAAACTGGAGTAGCTGTAAAATATCGACATCACACGATAGGTCAATAATGGATTTTAGTACTGCAGAAAAATAATGTCAAAAGGTACTGGTTTAAAAAAATTAAGATTAAAGTTAATTAATCAACCTTTAAGGTATAAAATTTGGTAGGTGTTATTATTAATAAAATAGTTTGTTTTATTTACCTATGTTGTTTTATTTATTCCTGTGGAATATTACAAATTTGTATTTGTACATAAGTTTTATGTACAAATGTATTTGTACATTGATAATATAATCATAAATGCGGGTAGTTTCATAAAGCTTGAAAGTAAATAATAGTTCTTTTTTATATTTTTTTGGTATGTAGTGTCTTGTTCTTGTTTGTTTTGTATTAACACATACCGTTTTTATTAAATAAAATAACTCGATTACATTTTTTCAGTTTTATACAGTTTTTTTCACAATATTTTGAAGTAATCACTTGTCATCTTGTCAATCAAATTTTAAATATTTCCTGCTATGCGTTCCAGTTGTACCAACTTATTTCTTTGTAAAATAAAATAAACTAGTTTGAATTTTATTATATTATACATTTAAAATGATAGACACATCTATCACTGTCAAGGATCTTCTCGTTGGACAGACTATAATAACTGTTTGTCCGTACCTGTATAAAACTAGTGGATAGAAAACTATACATTTACGACGTTTTTTACGTGGGAAAGGTCTCTTGGTAAAAATCGCTGCGACTAATGGTTTTTGAGATATTTGGAATCGAACTTATATACTTATATATTACCTGTCATCATTGATATAAATTAAACATGTTGACTAAATAGTTATTAGATTGAAATCATAAATTTGAAATGTCCTTGTGTCAAAAGTTCAACAGAACTGCTTTATCATCATTTTTTGCAGAAAAAATTATGATTAATTTGAAAAAAAAATAAAAATTTCCCAAATTTATTATTTCAGTGAAATAACTATCTACTCAACGTGTTTATTTTTCGTCAATAATGACATGTATTGACTATTTCCCTTCTAAATATCTTAAGAACGGTTGCTCGTAGCGAATTTTACAAAGAGATATTTTTTACGTAAAAAGTGTTGGAAATGTATATTTTTTTGCTCGGTAGTTTTATAAAGGTACGGACAAAAAGTTATTATGCTTCAAAACAGTTAAAAGACATGTAGGTGGCGCCCTCTACTAGTAGGGAGTCATATTGACATCAAAATCATTTTTTTCATGCCAAGAAATACCCATACATCAATTTTCATCCCAATATTGACGTTACTTTAGAAATTATTTATAAAAAATCGAAATAAAAATGAAACTTCTACACCCTGTATCACTGAAACCAGGGACGCGCCTAGTATTTTCGGCGCCGTCGTGCGAAATAAGGGTAGGCTCCTTTCTCCAATATTATAATATTAAGCCAAAATTTCCAATGACCAGCGGCGCGGCGCTCGAGATTGGTGGATAATATATTTTCACCACTGGCGTTCAATAGATAAAAGTATTACTTAAATTTTATGTAATTTGTTGATAAGTCCAAAAAAATGGTTTTATTATTTTTTAAAGTCAGTTACCGCAGGCGCCTTTAGGGCTTTGGCGCCGTCGTGCACCGCACGACCTTGCCCATATGGATGGCGCGTCCCTGACTGAAACTAAGCATTTTAGGACATACATTTATACGAACTTTTTTACTTATTTTTATCTGCAGAATATGCTGCCGAAGTTTCCGGAATACAGTTCGGACCACCCTGTATAGTCATAATTTAAATATTTATCCCTATTTCTCTTAAAAATCTTTGTTTAAAAGCATATGTTAAAATAATAACCTTTCGATACAAGAGTATTTCAAATTTTTTCTAATATAATACAGAAACAAAATCTATGCAATTACAATTGAAGTATACGTTTTAATTTAATTTTATGAGAACGGGTTATATGTTATCTGTACTTAATCATTATTATAATGGATTGCTACTATTATATCCGTAGCACTACGATCGCGGAACCAATAATTCATTTTGTTGTATAGAGATAGTATAAAAGATATATAAATGCGTAGTGTACAATACTTGGACTTAAAATCTTCATACGTGAAAGTTTCTTCTATACAGATATTTTTAGTGCTTTTATCAAAATAGTTTGATTACATAGATTTATTGAAAATATCTTTGTTACAGATGGAGGTTCTGACGAGGGCATCGGTATGACAGGTATGTGTCAATCATTAATTTTTGTATGCATCTACTAATAATTTAAAATCTGCTTTTTAATATTCCATTTTGTTTTTATACTGTTTAATAGTGTAATTTTTACTGAAAATTGTGATGACGTGACAACTTTGTGATGACAATGCAATATTTTTTTCAAGGATTCATTAATTTTATCATAAACTTTTTAAAATAAATGCCTAGTATTTTTCCACACTACTATTTCAATATTTTAGAATATTTAAAAAAACACAAGGAAAATGTTCTAAAATATCTATAGAATGTTGAGATCGTAATATTCATGATTATTATTTTTAATATGAAATATATGAAAATTATATTTTATTGAAAATATGATATTGAGTGCATATTATTCAAATTAATTTTAAAATTGAAATTTATATTCAATATGCAGAGACCATATGTATAAAACAGCGCTGTTTATGAAAAATGGATTTTGAAAATTAAGTGTAGGTAAGAAAAAATTATTTCTCTTGTCGAATTATATTTAGCATTTTATTTAGGTTGTATTCCGTTGTAAATCCAGTTTGGCTAAACTACTATAAGGATCGGTTCCTGAAAAATATTGGTAAAATACGAAACAGTTCGATAAAATAGTAGAGCCAGAGAGTAGAACCTTGTACCGTGTGTCCCACTAAGAATAGCTTTCGGCTGTATCTCGGAAAGTATTGGCCGCAAAACCTGAGGAAAAAAATATTTATAACTAAAGAGGCCATGATAAATTGCTGGAAATTATTTTTAAGTTTGTAAAACGGCCACTAGAGGGCGCAACTGCTATGGAAAATAAGAAAATAATTTTTTTACAGAATTTTGCCTAGATAATGGGTACTATAAATAATAGCTTCATAATCTTCAGTAAATTTTGGATTTTTTTTGTTAGAACCATTTTTCCCAATCTGCTAAAATAAAGTGGTGGGGAAAGGTTACATTTGTATTTATTTAAATGTTAATAACTCCGGACTGTGGATGATCAGAATCCAACAAACTAGGGCTCGTTTAAAATAGTGTTTCGTACTCTATATTATACCATAAAAATAATAATAACAAGGTTTTGAACGACATTTAATAAAATTAAATACGACAGTATATGTAATTTTAGCTGATAGTAAAGAGTAGTAAAAGCTTAAAAAGTCAGCGAAAACCGCATCTTGATATCTCCTTTCAAACCGGAGATATTAGCAAAATTATAATAAATACCAAAAAATAAGCCCTTAATTACCTTATTTTTACAACACGGTATCAGTAGCCCTCTTGATAATGCCCATTCTAACAAAAGATAAGATAGAAACAGTTAGTTTATTTTAAAATCGACGATATACCATAATACCAGATGCATTAATATCTAATAATTAAGATATTAATAAGAGTGAAAAAGAAACGATGCCTCAGTGAAGTGATGGTAGGCTTGGGAAAAAAGTTGCTTTTGACATAATTGTATAAATGTCAAATTGTTATTAGATCAACATTTTGATAGTCTTAGCAGCGTTTTTATCTTTTAATTGCTTTTTCAAAATGCCTTTATTATTTGAAGTAGTTGAAGTTGTTGGCATTTTGAAAAAAAAACAATCAAAAGATAAAAAACGCTGCTAAGGCTATCAAAATGTTGATCTAATAACAATTTGACGTTTATACTATTACGTCAAAAGCAACTTTTTTCCAAAGCCTACCATGACTTCACTGAATCATCGTTTCTTCTTCACTGTTATTGATATCTTAATTATTAGATATTAATACATCTGGTATTATGGCATTCTGGTATTTCGTCGATTTTAAAATAAACTACCTGTTTCTATCTTAGTTTTTTGTTAGAATGGGCATAATTAAGAGGGCTACTGATACCGTGTTGTAAAAATAAGGTAATTAAGGGCATATTTTTTGGTGTTTATTATAATTTTGCTAATATCTTCGGTTCGAAAGAAGATATCACGATGCGGTTTTCGCTGACTTTATAAGCTTTTACTACTCTTTACTATCAGCTAAAATTACGTATACTATCGTATTTAATTTTTTTGAATAAACGCGCTTTGTTTGTTAAATTGTAAGAAAACTCGCCCTAGCGTCTACGTTCCAAACCTTATTATTATTATTTTTATAGTATAATATACAGTAAGAAATGCTCTTTTAAACGAGCTCTCCTTTGTTGGATTCTGATCATCCAGTCCGGATTTATTAATATTTAAATAAAGATAGATCTAACCTTCCCTCACCACTTTATTTTAGCAAATAGGGGAAAATGGTTCTAATAAAAAAAATCCAAAATTTACTGAAGATTATGAAGCTATTATTTACAGTACTCATTATCTAGGCAAAATTCTGTAAAAAAATTATTTTATTATTTTTCATAGCAGTTGCGCCCTCTAGCGGTCGTTTGACAAACTTGAAAATAATTTCCAGCAATTTCTCATAGTCCCTTTAGTTATAATTTTTTTTTCCGTAGGCCCTACGGCTGATACTTTCCGAGAAACAGCCGAGAGCTATTCTTAGGGGGACACCCTGTACAAGGAAAGAGAGAACTGTTAGATAGTGACTTTCTTAAAATTCAATATTTATATTACAGAGTATTATTTCATGCTTGATTTATTATTTCAATGTTGAAAAATACTTTGTAAATGAGCCGTTTAACTCGTCAGACAGTTTAAGTTTTTTTTCTGAAAAAAAAGAGATTGAATGACATATAATTGACAAACGAACTAGAAAAAGCAGATTTGTGCTGGTTAATTTGGTGACAATAATGACGGCTATTTGTTTCGGAACCGTGTCCCGTAATAATATTTTTTTTAAATTAAGGCAACACATTGAAAAATAGAATATAGAATGTAAAATTGTGGGAGGGGAGTCAACTACCGCGACCTTACAGATCTATTGTGTGCCCTTTTTCTGGAGCTATAACTCGTTCAGTCTCAGGGCTTTGACAAAAGCCAGTATCTCAGACGTCTTCACAGAGGCTAGTTTCCCATCTCCGATATCAGTCGTACCAAAATTTATGATACGAATGGTTGTAGTCTCGGCGCAGCCAGTGATGAGGTGTTCTGGTGTTTCCCCATTTTCCCGCATATTTCTTATATTTAATCTAATGAGGTGTTCGTTGAGGAGACAATGACCTGTTAAAAATAATCTTGGGATGGTTTATAACAAGGGGCCGTTCTCTGCCGGAAACACTGCGACCTGTGAGGCCTACTGTGCTTGTCCCTTGTCCCCTTTCTATATCTGCACCCATTCTCCTATCCTTGTGCCCTGCACTAACTTATGCAGGTCCTTGATAGGAGGAGATCATAGTTCCTCCGATTCTAGCCTAGCTTTCCCAAATAAAAAGTGTCGCGTGCGATCTCGAGTCGCGTAGTGACATATTATGTGCTCCGCTGTTTCAGGATTTTTATCGCAGAGTCTGCAGCAAATACTTCCTTGATACAGGTTGAGTTTGTTCAGATAACACTTGACAGCCATGTGTCCTGTCAAGAGGCCTGTTGTAATCCGCAATTTATTCCTGCTAAGCATTAGCAGTTCTGTTGCGGTTTTAAAGCTAGGTCCTTGGATAAAGGCCTTGCTGTACCTATGCCCCTGTCTGTTTCTCCAGTGGACATTCGGCTTTTTCCTGATTCAGAGTTTTACTGCACTATACATTTGGGTATTTCCAGTACTGGCTCTGGACAGGATCACGTCATTGTTCTTACTTAAATCAAGGAAAACCTTTGATTTTTCTCTGACGTAAGTTTTGAAAAAAAATTTCGAGCGTCTTAGACCGTTGGAGGATTCCCATTCCAGGTTATGGATGGAGTTTTCCAGATTCTTGAGGTCCGCTTTAAGCTGGTTTCCATTTTGGAAACAGAGCGGTTCTGATCCAGTTAGTGAAGTGTTCGCTCCTTTTCTAGCTAGATTGTTTGCTTTTTCATTGTCTTTTATCCCTTGGTGAGCTGGCACCCAGAGTAGAAGGACTTTATATTTTTTGCCTAATTTGTTTAGCTTCTCTAGGCATTATTTGACCAACTTTAAATTGGTGGTTATTGAGGTGATTGGTTTTAGTTCTGCTTGACTGCGGACAAGGTATTTCCTGTTTCCGATAATCCCTATCTAAAGCCGCGTATAAATATGCCGAGGCAAGTACGAGACAAACCCGAAACGAGTATGAAACGAGGCTATAGCAAATTCTTTCCAAAAGGCGTACTAATATGCCGAGACGAGGACGAGGCGAGTCAACCTCAAGCGGAATTCGTCATATTATAGCCTCGAGTCGAGCGATTTAGCCTCGAGCAGAGTCCCTGCCCAGTCGAACGGCGTTGTCTCGCGGCTATCCATTTTCAGTGGAGCCTTTGGCGAACCCACAAAATTCTTCATAGGGCTATGCAATACTGAGGCAGTATCTATATTTTGGTATCGGTTGTATTGAATATAAAGTATCGATACTTTAAAATATTGATAAATACATTAAAGTATTATTCGATACCATTCAATATTTTAAAAAATTAATTAATAAATTTAAGTATAATGTGTTTTTTAATTGGATTAGGATCGAAAAAATCAACAGAAGTCCTTTGTTTTAAATTTGTCGACGTTTCGCAAAATTTATTTGCATCTTCAGGACACTACAAAGTTAAGAAAGCAAAATACAATCAAAAAATTTAAAAAATTTAACAAACAACTTAAAACACATATCAGTGGAATTCCACACATACACAATTGGTAAAACTACCCTAATGTTAACAATTAAATAAAATATATGTATATGTTATAAACTTAAGATCGCTTGGAAATAAAAATAATAAGGGATAAGGCCAGAATATAATCAGGATATTTTCTTATTCGCATTTAACGAAAAAAATCGACGATGGTGGCACTGTTTTATACAAAAAAACTACCCGGATCAGAACTAAATCAGTCATCAAACGATCTCAAATTACTAAAAGCACTTGGAAGAAAATGATAAAACACTTAACCTAGGGTTGGCAACTTTGAAAATAAAAAATAGGGGCGAGAGGATAAAAAAG